GGTGAGGTCGCTGTCGGTGCCGGGGCTGACAGGGTTGAGGGCTCGCCGTGCTGAGGAGTGCGAAGGGTTAAACGGGTGCCGGCTGGCAGTGGCTTTATTTCAATGTAACGTGGTGCTATTGCAGCGTGTATTGAAGAAAAGGTGTGGTGTTTGTGGTCTCACGCAAGCCCTCCCGCTGCAGGTGCTGTCAGGACAGCTTGTTCAGCTTGTGCTCGAGCATTTCACAGATCAGCGTTTAGCACTATAAGGAAGATGCCTCTTTGTTCTGAGTGTATGAACGCCAGGGTCCCATTTGTGGGAGAAAATAATGCCCATCTTTCCATCGTGGTGTCATGGTTTATACAGTTGCTTTATCTCCCGATGCCTCCTCCCCATCTGCGGAGGGGGGCCAGGAAAAGGAAAGGAGAATCATGGGTTGAAATAGAAATATATTTAATAAAATAATAATAACAGTTATAATACAAAAATACACAGAGTTATACTCAGCCAGTATTGTGGGGGTTAGAACAGTAAACAAGTCCCTCTTCAGCCACAGAAGAGGGGAGAGGGAGCAGGGGGGAGGAAGAGAAGGAAGATCATCCCCAACAAACTTCCCAACTTATAGTGAATGTGAAATTTATGGTCTGAATAGTATTCATTGGTCAGCCTGGGGCCACCTTGGGGCTGACTCCCTTAGGTGTCTGTTCCCCCCCAGTCTTTTTATCTGTTTATCTTAAGACCTTGAGTACTATGACAACCTGCGTATCAGTATTAGCTGAAACCTATAACAAAGTTTTTTATCAACTTTGTTCCCATGAAATAAGAGTGTTGTAATCCTTACAAAACTGCAGCTTTCCTCAAGAGAAAATTGACACTAAAATTCTGTCCCACGAAACCAGGACACGAGAATACCTACAACTACCTAAAGGGAGGTTGTAGAGAGGTGGGTGCTGGTCTCTTCTCCCAGATGATGGGGGATAGAACAAGGGGAAACGGCACCAAGCTGTGCCAAGGGAGGTTCAGGTTAGAGATAAGGAGGAAGTTCTTTACTGAGAAGGTCGTCAGAAGCTGGAAGAGGGTCGTCAGAGGCTGGAACAGGCTGCCCAGGGAGGTGGTGGAGTCACCATCCCTGGATGTATTTACAGAGCGGGTAGATGAGGTACTTAAGGATATGGTTTAGGGGGTAGACAGGAGCAGTTGGATGTGATGATCTCGGAGGTCTTTTCCAACCGAGCCATTCTGTGATTCTGTGTGTGATTCTGTGAATAACTTCGAACATGGTTGCCATGAGCAGCAGCATCACACTGCTGTGCTTGGAGAGTAACTTCCAAAGCTGTCGTGATCCTGTAATACTTTTCTGTCAGTAGTGCCCTTCAGTGTGCTCAGGGCCTCAGCGGTCCTCTCTTGTGTAAATACACAGAAAGCTTGCCCTCACTTCAAAGGTTTGAAGCTACGAAATGGTTACACAGTGTTGAAAACCAGCTAGTTACCTTTGAATTTGCAAACATGCCTACAAGTGTTCTCAAACCAACCAACAGAGGCCATTTCTAGGAGCCGAAATATGTCAGTCTTAGGAGGTTAAACCTGGGCAGTTGCAGAGTCAGTACAACGGTAAAAAAAAATCTACTGTAGCTGGAAGATATTAAGTCCAGATGTTGGTCAGGCTCCATGCCCTGGAAGAGGAACAATGTGCATGTAGCATTCAAGGGAAAGGGATTTTATAACACTATTGTTGAGCCCTAGATAAGGGTTTTCAGCTTCTTCTGGTTTGTGTGTGTGTGCTCTGGGGTGGATTTCAGGGAGCTGCATAACCTCTTTGCAGAGTATCCTTCTCAAGCTCTAAAATACTGTACAAATCTACTCTGACATTAGCTCGCTGGAGGAAAATTAGGCCATCTCTTCAGAACATGAATTTAAAAAATATATCTATTCAGCACCAGCAGTTTATGAAGGAAAACAGCGAGCCATAAGCTCATGGGACTCTCAGAACCTAATTCTATGCTGACAATCTCCAGCACCAAAGTATCACTTGGCTCAGACCAAGGCACAAAAAAATGAACAATCCTTTGATTAATATTTTAACTGCTCTTATAGAAGCAAGCTCAAAGTCCATGAACCATAAAATTCTCCAGGTGGTCCTTGACCCAGTACTTTTGCCATGATTTTGTGTTATTCTTGAACATTTTGTCAGCCAGACACCAGAATGCAGACACAACATGGAAACAGGTGGGAAAGTCTCACTGAGGACCCACTTTATTCAGACATCTTCGCATCTTTTTCTAAGCTTTCCTTCTTCCTTATCTCTTCTTGCTCAGCTCTGCAATGCTGGGAAAGTTGCTTCCAGGCAAGAACCCACACAGGGAGCAGCCAAGGGCAAGGGGAAGGTGCAGAGCCTATGGCAGTCCCTAGCAGTGGCCAACACAGCCCAAAAAATGAGAGCTGGGGCATGGGGCAGAGCGAAGTTTCTCTAAAGGAAACAAAGGCTTTAGCAAGAGTTTGTGCTTGTTCCTTCCCGAGGCAGAAGGACGTCCAGGAAATGAGCTCGTCTGCAGATCTGAATTAAAGTGATATTATTTTCTGCATTTCAGAGCATTCACCTTCAAGTTGATCAAGCCCTTTGCAAAGCCAGGGCTGTGCATCCTCTTCCCTGCAACAGAGTACTCGTGAGTCACACGTGTCTCAGACTCAGTTCACCTACCTGTTCATTACCCAAGTTTCAAAAACTTTTAGTTGAAGAGACCTCCTGAGACAGTGCAGAGACCTGGGCAGCCGTGATACCTGTGTCTCCACGCTGAGAGCTTGAGAGCTCAAAACCGTAATATTGTAAGCCAATAAACCTGACACTTATCAAAAGAGGCTTTGATACATTTTATTACCCAGATAAGGTGTAGCCCCCGAGCCTGATACACGAATTTGTGTTTGGTATTACAGTCCTGGCAGATTTTGCAAACGTAGATATTGTTTATGCTGCATCAACTTCAAAAGGTAATTAGAAGGAATATTTTCCACTGTCTCAAGCCTTTAAGTCATAAACAGGCCTCCAACCAGAATGACAAAGGAGCACAGAAGCTCCCCTCAGTCTTACATTCCCATGGACCTCCGTGGCACGCTCTCAGATCCCTGAGCTCTGCCTGGGACCTGACCAAGCCACAAAGTGGAAAGGAAACTGATACATGTTTTCATTATCAGTGGAAGTCAGGTAACATTACACATAAAAAGTACCATGTTTTTGTTTTAATAAAATGCCATGTGTATTCCAGTTATAAAGTGAGGGAGCATAAGGGTTCCAAAAAACCCAAATGCTTCCCTACAGGCACAGTGAGCCAAAACCACCAGTCACAGAATACAGCGAGATGCTGCATTGTCCCCAACCCCCCTGTAACAGCAGGGTAAGAAAAACCTATTTTGAATTACTGAGCGAATAACAGAAATTAAAGTTGGCAGTAGCAGAACCTTCCAAATGTTTTTCCATGGCACAGTGCAATTCTTCACAAGTGACTTCCTCTTCTGTACACTGCCATCAGCACACAAACATTGAGACCTGAAAATTTTGCAAACAAGTTAACACTTTGTAGGAGCAGCCACCAGGGACACTAACAGAAGAGCACGGAGCACGAGATCTGACATGAGCCTGGAATAAACAATGATATAAATGCATAAACTTCCCTCCCAATAATCACATCCCTTTCCGGAAAGGGCTTTTGGGGAGCCTGAAAAGAGAATTTGACTCCCAGGTCCTCTCAGCCTGCCCGGGACCCTTCTGCTACCACAGAGAAAGAAGGATCTTTTTGCCTTGCAAAGTATAAGGAAATCTGGATAAACCTCAGAACCTCTCTGGTCCTCAATAAAGCCAAGTATGTTCTGGAATTAAGCGTCTTGCTGCTACAAGAGAGCTTTTTCTAGGCCCATGTATGGCCATCACCAGCCTGCAATGGCTTAGCCACAGGCACTGGGAGAGCCTTTGAGCTATAAGACAGGCTTGAGACAAAAGACCTTGAACTATTTTAGTAAAATCAGTACAGCTGATTGCCCTACTGCAGCTTTGTGTGCATGGGGTGCAAAGACAAAAGTGAATCATACAGGTGAAGGTGCAGAGCTACACAGATTTGATCATAAGAGGAAACAAGTAGATGGAGCTGGTCATCTCTGGGTGGTCTTCATCATTGCTTGGTTCCAACCGGCTGCTCAAGGGATCACAGGAACGTCATGACTGTTCTGTTCTTGCCAATCTGCCAGGGCTCCAGTGGGTAAAAGCGGATGACGATCCTTTTTTGGGTATAAAAGCAGAAATTAAGTGGTCAGGAAACATTATTTTACAGTTAAATATTATCCCTGCCCAATTTGCAACAAAGTAGAAAACATGCTCTAAGCTCCCGCTGGCTCACCCTTCATAGTGGTAGTTTAACAGAAGTTAAGCTGTGTATGGGCAAGGGTACAAACAGGTGCCAGGCTCCATCCACACAAACTGAAAAGCAGACTGAATTTCAGCACTGTTTGTACAAAACACTTGTCCATTTCAGAAGGACCCAAGCAGTTCGCAATCTTGCCAGGTATTTATCCCAGCAGCATGCAGGAGGCAGGGAAACACTGTTACTCTTCTTGGGGAGAGGGACAGGGTTTACCTTCAGGAACGGCCTTTTTCCAGCACTTGGCATGGCGACCCCACTGCGAAGCTCTACCCATTCCCACGGGGTTTTGCACCAGTTACTCCAACTGGAACTGCTCATCTTCAGAGACCGATCATTCCCAGGCTGTTCAAGGAGTGCAAACCAGCCCGTGGTTTTATCTGGACCTAACTGCATGCCTGGGATTCGGCATCCAAGAGCACTTCACATCTGCAATCTACTCTTGAATCTTAGACCTGAATCTCATGGAGGAACTGGAAACCTACACCATCATCACCATCACTTCCAACATTCGCTTTTGCTTGCTGTGTTTCATACATCCATAGACCGCATCACCCTGACAGAAGAGACGCCTCCCTCCCCGCCCCGGCCCAGGGCTGAGCCCCCCGGCCCGCACGCACTCACCGCTCGGAGCCGAGGCCCAGCTGTGCCGTCAGGAAGTCGAAGAAGCGGGCGCTGTGCCGCTGGTTCTGCTCCGCCGAGCCCACCACGCCGATGGAGGAGACGAACAGCTGGGCACAGGGCTCGGCCGAGCCCGACAGCACCATG